ACCGTTTACTCCTCCAGCTCAAGACAATCCCTCATACACGGTAACTCAGACAGGACCTTGCTCTCTTAAGTTCCAGAGGACACAAGAAAAATAGAGTTTCTATCCTTCACTCAACTCTCTTTTGCCAGCATATTTTCCTTTCTTCTCTTTTTCCTATATGTAACTTCTCCAAATACCTCCAATGTCATGTTTAAATTTCTAAATAACTACTCAGCTGCTCTTACAGGAATCATCAAACACGGAGCTAAAGATTACGAGGAGTCAATGATTACAAGCCCAGGTGGTAAGCAAAACCTTAACGGGTCCCTTGACATGACAGGTCTGACACTGACTGCAGTAGTGTCCTCTGGATGTTAAGACAATGCCCAAAATAAAGGTTTTATCTCTTTAAGATATTTTCTTTAAGCTCCAGGGAGCCAGCTTGACCCATCTAAACGGACCAGACTCAAAATGAAATAAGTATCATTTAATTTTATTATTCCCCCACCTCAAATCTCCCCCCCCACTCAAATCTCCCCTTTACTTTTTTTTCCCCTCTTCTAACATGACTTGTTTTCCAGCTCCTCAAGAGACGTGGCTTCAATCAGCCACCACGGGACACCAGTGGACAGAATGCATTGGACACCACAGGACACCAGCGGACAGGACGCCATCATCAGGGTATATCGGACACCCCAAACCCCTCGATGCCCACAAAGTCAGCAGGAAGTAGTTATGAGAGACCGGGCTATGCCTCCATTCCCGACCCACTAAAATTCTCACCCCCCCAAATTCTTAACAAATCAAAAAGTGTGGAATGTTATTCTCCTGGGGAACTGAATTTCCCAGGAGGCCCCTATGCTCAGGCACAGAGTAAAGCATGGTCTGCCTGACTCGAAAGACTTCCTTTCCCAAAAACACATGCACCCACAATCCAACACGGATGCAGAACACAAAGTCTGATGCACATACACTGGGTTGGTCTTTCAAAGGCAGAGCCACGGTACCCCCTTCCTCTTTTCCCTTTCCTGTTTCCAGCCTGCACAGTCCCCATGCCCCTTCCTTGTAATAAAGTTACATATGGGTCTGTTTGTACCTCGTGGTCTCTTTCGTATTCCGCAGAAACAACAACAGTTGGATTATATGAATTCTGACCTCAAGTCTAGTAAATGAAAACTGGAGATTCAGTACAAATTTTCCTAAAGACAAAGTTTAGTCCCCTCTGCTTAGAAACAAGAGGCAGTTAAAGGGAATAAACTCAAGAGATCTCCATCTGGATGCAAGGAATTCTGTGGAAGAGCCCATACCCATCTAATTAAAATACTGCCTTCTCTTCAAAACCAAGTTCAAGTGGCATCCCTCCACAGAGATTGTCCTGCTATCTCCACTTACTTTAATTTCTTGTGTTGTCTGAAATACTGAGGACTGGAACTCCTATCTTAGGACCCACATAACAAACCATGTAACCTCCAAAATACCCATGGCACCAGCTTTGAGGTGGGCAGAGACAGGAGGATTTGTGGGGATTGTTGTAAAGTGACAGAGAGACCTTGGTGGACCAAGGGGCCATGTGGTGGGTGAAAGCCCAAGGCAGATGAAGGATAGACATGGATACTACTTGAGTGCGTCCTGTCAGATGACAGGCCAGCATAATGCCTGAATTCTAACAGTTGGCTTCCAGGATAGCCAAGAAAATATGAACCCTAGTTTCAGAGATAAAGCCCTACCTTAAGGGAATAAGAAGAGAGTTAAAGCAGAGGACTTTTAGTGCCATCTTCAGGACTCTGTGCACATATACACATGCACATACACACATGCATATATACATGTGTTCATACACTCACACAGACACATACACATATAAATAAGTAATTTTTATCTTAAAAATAGGGTCTATGTCTTCAATATCTCTGTATACTCCATATTACACAGTGAAGCAAGTACTGAATAAATATGCTCTGATACAGAAACAATGAATCATCAAAAAATAAAGTCTACCAATTTGATTCTGGGGAATGATGATAATTGTTACCAACAACAGTTTTTATTTCCCCCACTTGTTCCCCTTTTTTATTGCTCCAATTATTGTCAATTGCTCTTTGGGTGATATAGAAATAAAAGTGTCCAAATTAAAGAGGCAAAAGAATATCAAAATTTCATTTGCTTTGGTTTGCAACTGATGACCAAGAGAGTTGTTGCAACAGTCCTTCCCGCTAAGGAACACTCTAAGAGCTCAAGTAAAGACAGAAGGAGCTAAGAAGAGCACAAGGGTGCCTTGAAATGATGAAATGGCAAAAGGATTTTTTCAATAGAGGCACAGATGATATTAATGCAGATCTGTACTTGCCTTTTGGTTCCTGTCATTTACACTAACTATTGTGTCTGGATTCTTCCCCTTAATCTTAATCGTATAGATGCATTCATTCTGTGAGAGGGGAGTAAAGCCAGAGGCAGCAGATATCTCCAGACCTGAAACTGCAGGTAAGCATGCCTTTGAAACAAGAGCACTACACATTTTAACTGCTGAGTCCTCTCTCCATTCCCTGTTTTCCTTTTTAAATAGTTAATACATGAATTTTACTATTACACCTATTTTCATTTTATGGAGTTATTTATTCTGACTAATTTAACCTCTTATGTCCTTTATTCTTTGAAATGGAGATGGGAAGTGAGTTAAGAGGATTATTCTAATGTGGTATCTTGCCCCTCAAACGGAGTGGTTTTACAACCTTTGGCTTCCATTTATCTCCTTATCTGCTCTCTGCTTTTAAAATCAGCCTTCCAGAAGAAACTGATAGTGGCCCATCTACTCTCAACAACTGGTGCTAGAAGAAACTGAGTTAAACACCTAGATGAAACTGTCATTTGTTCTGCGGCCATGGCAGACAGCTTAGAAGGATAGAAGGAGCATACCCTTCACACAAAATAGAAGCACAACAGCATGGGAAAACAGAACATATGGATTTCAAGTTCGTATTCACAGTGGCTGAGTCTCAAAAATAGTTTATATTAAACATAAAATAAGTTCTCATCAGGGGATAATCTTTGAATTTCAGTTTAAAGAGAACAATCCAATGGATATAAATGTCTTCATAAAATCAGTTGGTAAATATGTAATAGAAGATCCAAGTGAAATTATGCTTACTATCCAGACAATTTCTAAATTATAAGGAATAATTCTAGCTATCAAAATCTAACAAAGATTTTACTTTTAAAGTTATTTTTTTCTGTGAAAAAAATTTCCATTCCTACTCCTAATAATCTAAGGAAAAGAAAAAATGAAAAAGGCTATTGAGGAACAGGAAAGATTGCCCAGTGGTTAAGAACATTGGCTGCTCTTCCAAAGGATATAAATTTGATTCCAAGCAACACTCAAGGAGGCTTACAACCATTTAAAGCTCCAGACCTAGGAGATTTAATGTTGTCCTCTTGCTTCTGGGGCACCAAGCACATACATGGAACAGACGTGCATGGAGGCAAAACACCCACACAAGTAAATATAGTAAGGAAGGCAGGAAGGGAGGAAAGGAGAGAAGAAGGGAGGGAGGGAGAGAAGGAGGAATGGAGGGAGAAAAGAAGGTAGGAAAGAAAAAAAGAGTAGGGGAAGCTAGAACCCATACACTCAAGTATACACTTGGTATACAAGCATGACAATCTGGGTTTCATTACTAGCAACAACATTAAAAGTCAGGCAGGCCTTGCACACCTGTAATCTCAACCTGTCTCAAATGAATAAGGAAGAAAGTGATAGACTAGAGCCTCTAGCATCATCTGTCCTGCTCAAAAGCACAGGCACGTGCACCCTCATACAGATGAGCATACACCATACACCCAAAAAAATTCTACACTCAAGATTTGAAGTTAAATGAAATCTGAGAAAAAGAATTGGCTTGGATGCAAGTGGGAATAGCAGAAATGTTATGACTTAACAGAAGAATTTAAAACGCTGTGTTAAAATTGCACTTTGTGGTATAGGCTTATCATCCCAGCTATGCAGAGGCTGAAGAAGGTAAATCAAAAGTACAAGGCCAACCTGAATTACATAGTAAGCTCAAAACCAGACTAGACAACTCAATGAGACACTGACTGGGTACAAAGCTTTATGTTATAGTACTTTCCTTAGCAATGAAGCACTTGTCACACACAAAGTCTTACGTTCAATCCTTAGTACTACAAACACACACACATACATAAAGGTCTGTTAGAGTAATAAACAAAACCTTGATATTATTATGAAAAATAAAATAAACTGTAAAAACATCAGAAATGATTAATCTGCAACCACAACCTTTCCCCAGAAAACTGAAGGGGAAACTGAAGAGCACTTGCTCTCAGTCATGCCTTTGCTGACCTTGTACTTGATTCTGAATACGGGATTTCCCTAAATGCTAAGCTTCCAACACCCTAATATTTTTTCAATGCTAGGAACTGAACCCTTGGACCACATGCAAAGAAAGTACTATGTCATTTAGCCATATCCTCCTGCCTCACTTGTTATTCTTATTCTGGCTCTGCTGTGTACCTTCATACCCATTCTGCTTCAGTGCATGGAAATCTACAAAAAAAAAAATGAACAAATTTGGAAGCATCAAGTGCTAGTTTTCCATTGCTATCTGGCAGAAGACTCTAAGGAAAAGTCTGCCATAACTTCTGTCAAGTACAGACCAATGTTTTAATAACAAGGGTGTGAGAACCCTGGTAGTCCACTACTTGCAGAGATTCCCCCGCATTGGCACTTAACAGCTGCCACAACTTCGCACATCTCCAGCTCGCACACTTATTTTTCATCCCAGTTTGTTTGATGATAAAATATATAAAACCTATTAAACAGGACATTTTATATTTGTGAAAAAATAATGTGTCTTTAAAAGAAAAAATTGGTAATTTTATTTTTAGTTTTTTCTTCAAAAAAAGAACTCAAACATTATCCTTTCAAATATAAAGCAATAAAATAAATGAGTCAACACAAATATATCCACAGATAGTTAGCAATTAGCAAATAAAGGTTTATCTTTGCTTACCTTCTTTGGCAGAGAGAACAGCAATACATAGGAAGAAATCCCAGGATTATCATGCTGATTGCAGAGAACCCAAGCACCCGGAGCATCTGTGTAGGCTCTGTTGATTTAATTACATCTTGTCAATTTTATGGTGAGGCAAGAAAAACAAACCTAAACTATTTTATACAGTATTTATTTTAAAAGATCAGTTAATAAAGTAAAGTGAACAGTGACCCTCCTTGTTATGCTTCAGGTCAGAGTTCTTGAAATGCAACTAAAAGCTACTTTCAAAATGCCCCCCAACAATAACTTAACAAAATTATCAGGCTGTTTTCATTGACAGATCATGTATCATCATATTGGATTCTTAGTGGCCCTAAGTGTACTTGCTCTATGGCCATATGTTCTGCCTCCTAGAGCATCTGAAGAACAAATCAATCTATGAACAGTTAACCTGGTAAAGAAATGGCTTCTGGGGCTAGAAAGATGCCTTAGAGATTAAGAGCACTGACTGGTCTTCCAGAGGACCTTAGTATGATTCCCAGGAACCACATGGTGATGTAGGTGGGCCTTCTGTCTCTGTGTTAATAAAGAGACTGCCTTGGCCCTTTGATAGGACAGAAAATTAGGTAGGCAGAGCACACAGAACAGAATGCTGTGAAGAGGGCAATGAGGTAGATGCCATGGAGCCAGCCACCAAGTCAGACATGCTGAATCTTTCCCAGTAAGCCACCACCTCGTGGTGCTTCACAGATTACTAGAAATGGGTTAATCAAGATGTGAGAGTTAGCCAGTAACTAACTCTCTAGAGATAATGGGCCAGGCAGTCTTTAAATGGTTACAATTTGTGTGTTGTTATTTCCGGGGCTAAGCTAGCTGTGTGGAAGCCATGCAGGACGAAAAGCAGGTCTGCCCGCAGCTCCTCACTACAAATGGAGCCCATGTGGATAACTGAATCCACAGAAAGCCTGAGAAAGTTTGGGAAAGAATAGAGTAAAGCATGTTTTCTTGGTAGCAGCAATTTCTCAGGTCTGCTCTACTTGCTAGAGGAAAGCAAAGACTCTCATCTAAGAGAGGCTTCCTGATTCAGCTTTAGCTGCAAAACCTTGCAACTCTTTTAAAAGGTCCTGCCATGAACCACTTAAACAGTGGGGATGAAAAGCTGAACACATGCTTTTTGGATTTCAGCTGTAGCAGGAAAAAAGCTGTGCTGCTGTTTTAAAATGTCAGCTTTCTGGGCTGTCCTGTCAGGACAAACTCTGACTTTTGCAGGCAGGCTATCTGACTGAGTGTGGTCTGTTAGCAGAATGCTGCAGCTTGCTTGCTGGCAGGGATCTTGAAACACTGTAGAGTTGTGACAGTAAAAATGGCTCTGGCGGTACCTCTGCCATGAGGCTGGAAAACTAAGGAATGAGCTGGATCTAGCCATCAAAGCCACAGCTCTCCATATTGCTGAGTAAATTATAGGTTCATGTGGTCAGAAAAAGAGAGATATACAGTAAAGAGAGATTCAAAGAGGAACAAAACCTCTAAATGGTTTACAGTGTGTCAAAAATATATGCAGGTTAAAGGTAAAAGTCATTAAAAATGAAAAAGAAAGAAAGGGAGAAAAAGGGTGTGGTCGTACACACCTTTAATCCCAATGCCTGGGAGGTAGAAGTACGTTGACCTCTGTGGCTTCAAGGGGCAGAGGTAGATTGACCTCTGTGACTTCAAGGTGTGGTAGCACACACCTTTAAACCCAATGCCTGGGAGACAGAGACAGACAGATCTCTGAGTTCAAGGTGTGGTAGCACACACCTTTAATCCCAGCACTGGGGAGGCAGAGACAGAGGGATCTCTGTGAGTTCAAGGACAGCCTGGTCTACAGAGTTATTCCACGACAAAGATATACAGAGAACCTGTCTCAAAAAGTAAAAGTAAAAATAAAAGAAATATAGGTTAAAATAAAGCTGCATAAAGATGTAAAACACACAGAGAATCATGACACTGTATGCTATTAAGCTCTTTTTGAATTGTTTGAATGCTGAGGAAGGAGCAACAGCTGCTAAAAGATATTTGTATATAAATGCTACTGAACTAATCCAAGATAGATATGTTGAAATTACCTTGACTTCAAAATTTGTATCTAAGGTTATGATGCTTTGAAAAAGTTCTTCTTTTGTTTTCACAGAGGATAAGACCCTGTGTATTGCTTCTATCCCAATATGGTATGATAGACCCCGTCCTCCTGAAAGGTTGCTATGAATACCCTCAAGAAATTACATTGCTCAACTGCCGACTGAGATGAATCTAACACACAGTTTATACCATGAAAGACCTGATTAACAGTGCCCATATACAGCAGGAAAATGTTTGGAGAGAAATAACAATGCCCATATTCCCAAATATTGTTTATAAATGTTCTTTTACATTTAAAGGGGGATATGATATAGATGTGAATAATTTGCAATGGTATGGATTTTAAGGTCAATTTTGTTATATGTATATGTATTTCTGATCTTGATTAAGGTATTATGATTGTGTAGTTCACTTAAAAATGTAATGTATAATTAGGAAATATAGGTTGTTAATGGATAATCATTAATAATAATCAAGCTTATAGTCATGTTAGTTAGATTTTCTAGGTATAGAGATATATTTTAGTTAGATAGGCATTCCTCACAGCTTTTAAAGACTACATAATATGGCATTTTCAATGTTTTAATAATTTAGGACATTTCATGACAATGAGACACATCTGTTCCTGGCAGCACCAATCTACTTCAAGAGGAAGATGAGCATCAAAGAGGCTCCTTATGGAGTTGGTTAGCCATTTTGGGCAAGAAACTGCTCTTGCCTGGACTGTTGCATAGACTGGACACAGAGAACCCACAGAGAGAGGACTGCTGAACTTGCCTAAAGATGAGATGATCTTTCAGGGTTCCTGATTCATTAAAGAGTCTGCTAGACATTCTGCAGGACACAGCAGATAGTGACTGAACTGTCTTTGAAATTTCCTGCTTCATGGAAGTGTCTCTGGATACTATGGGCCTGTAGGGTGAAGATGGATGCCCCAATGGTACAGAGGAACTTTGGGTGACTGTCGAGGCAGCAAGATGTCTCTGTCATTCCTAGAGTTTTGGAAGTTGCGTACTTCTTGTTTACTTAGGTAATATTATATCCTTTTGGGGTCTTTGATGGAGTTGAAGAATGGTTAGTTATAGTTATAGTTTTCCATTATTATGATAAAGATAAAATAGATATAAATATTGTAACTGTAATTCTTGCTTGATAACTGTTTTGTTATATATAATTTTACTATGTTAAAGTGAAAGCCTTTCTTTTTTGTTTAAATAGAAAAAGGAGAAATGATGTAGGTGGGCCTTCTGTCTATGTGTTCATAAAGAGACTGCCCTGGCCCTTTGATAGGACAGAAAATTAGGTAGGCAGAGTACACAGAACAGAATGCTGTGAAGAGGGCAATGAGGTAGATGCCATGGAACCAGCCACCAGATCAGACATGCTGAATCTTTCCCAGTATGCCACCACGTTGTGGTGCTACACAGATTATTAGATATGGGTTAATCAAGATGTGAGATATAGCCAGTAACTAACTCTCTAGAGATAATGGGCCAGGCAGTGTTTAAATGATTACAATTTGTGTGTTTTTATTTCCGGGGCTAAGCTAGCCATGTGGGAGCCATGCAGGATGAAAAGCAGGCCTGCCTGCAGCTCCTCACTACAACATGGTGGCTCACAACCATTTATAATGAGATCTGGTGCCCTCTTCTGACCTGCAGGGATACATGCAGGTAGAACACTGTATACATAATTAAATAAGTCTTTAAAAAAACAAAGAAAGAGAAAGAAAGAGAAAAAGAAAGAAAGAAAGAAAGAAAGAAAGAAAGAAAGAAAGAAAGAAAGAAAGAATGGGCTGCTCCAGTGTTTACTTCCAAATTATAAAGCACTCAATTAAACACAGAATTAAAAATTTGTAGGTGAAGAAGCATATTTAGCCTCATATACACTGGGAAATGCATTCTAATGTGATTGGGGAACTGTAAGTCATGGTTTAATTTTTTCCATCAAAAGAACAAAATGTTTCTTTATACATAATAGAAACAGTAAACTGATGAATGAATTCTAAATACAACATGACAGCATTAAAACTTCAAAACTATATTCATAGTCAGGCTTTAGTTTTCATCATTAATACCAGATGTACAACAAAGAGCTTGAAATTGAATAGGGACTATAAACAGACCTAAGATATTGTTCTGCATGGATCCTATTATTATTTCTTAGTGCTCTATTACATCCAATATACTTATCATGGGACCAACTGATAATATGCCCCCATTAGCAAATAAGGTAGAAGAAAAATATAGATGGTGTTATTTCTTTAATTTTGGAAAAAAAAAATCTTAAGAGGATAACTTTGCTTTGTATTATTCTAAAAGAAACAGAACAAAGAAACGCTAATAAAGACATCTGACAGGAAACATTCACATCTACTGCTGCATGCTAAGCTGTTGAAGACAAGACAAATGAGAAGAATTCGATACAAGAGAAACTCAGAATAAAAAGTTTAGCTAAGGTGTTCCTAAGTGGTGTTATTAGGACTGAGCAGAATATGATACCATAGAGAGGGGCTTCATATGTAGCCTTAGATGCCCAGAAATTGGTAGAGTGCTTGTTTAGTATGCACGAAGCCCTACATTTGAACTTTAGCACCACATAAACTAGGCGTGATAGTGCAAGCCTACAAGCTCACTGAAAACTCGAGGTCCTCACATGCTATATAGAAATTTCAAGGCCAGACTAAAACATAGGAGACTCCCGTCTCAGAAAAAAATAGTCCAATTTATTTCTGATTTTCACCTAGCTTCTTATCTTTTCCTCTTCTCTCCCCCAGCAGAAAAGTCAGAGAAATTCAAACTTATTCACCCAAAATAAATTTGGTCACAGAAAGCAGGTCACATGTCACAGAAAGCGGAAGTTCTTTTCCCCCAAAATCAGTTATAAGCTCAAAACTGTTACTCTGATTTCCCCCTGCCTTTCATTCTTGGAGATAAAGATGCTATGACCAGATAGGTGCTGTGCCACATGACTATAATCTGAACAGTTGAAGTTCTGAGATAGGAAAATCCGAAGTTCCAGGTCATTCTCAACTATACAGCAAACTTAAGGCAAATTTGAGATTCCTGAGACCCCACTTCAAACAAAAAATCCGAAGCAAACAAAAGTGGGAGAAGGGATGAAGAGTAGAAAAAGGAAGCAATCCCTGATTTAGCAGGTCACAGGATTTCTAGTTCCAAAGGGCCCTAAAGCAGATACCTGGGAGGAAGGATCACTATACAGGGAGGGCATTAAGAATCTGGACAGACCTTCTCAGATTTCCCCATTTAAATCACACTTTGTGTCCAATTATTTCTATGTGTGGCTGTGCTCCATGGAATCAAAGTTTATTACCAACTCATAGTTCAGAAGCCTCAGTGTCACAGAAAACAATGATTAAATAAATTTGTGATGTTTTTCTCTGGTAATCTTGCTTTTGGAATAGTGCTATCATCTAAGACTCTTCACAATGAGTGAGAAGGAATTACTCCCTATGCTAGTGAACGTTGATTGGCAATTGACTTCGAATTCAGAAAAGCCTAAAAGATTTAATGAAGCACACCTTTGAATATATCTTTAAGAAAATCTCGAGACAAAGTAGATTGTGAAGGCTCTCCTGTAATTAACGAATAGTTTAATCACTTTAGAGATTCATAGTTTACTAATGGCATTGGGTGGCAGTGAAAAGTAGAGGTAGGGCCCAAGTAGTGCAAGTAGATCATGCTATGTGTATTCTCCATCTCTGATTTCTAGTTGGCCATAAATTGGCTCACTCTCTTCCCTCCTTGACATGTTCTAACTACCATGATATTCTGCTGAAATACATGGAGCCAAGGTGCCATGAACTGAAGCCACTGAAACAGGGAGTGAAATGAAGCCTTCTACAAGTTATTTTTGGTAGGCAGCAAGAAAGGAAACTACTATGCTCTTTTTACACCTTTCTGGTACCTTCTTTCAGGCAGAGAATCATACCTCATACAGCAGCTTAGAAGCTTTGAAAGAAAAGGGAGAGTGACTGAACCAACTGAACAGCTAAGACTAACTCTGGATGGTTAATTATCGTCAAACAACTAAACACAAACTGCTAGGAAACTATCTCAGAATTTCTAATGATACCATTTGTCTTGGTTTGGGAATTCCTTGGAAATGTTGAGCTGGAAAAGCTAAAAACCTTCCAATCTATTTATTTAAATATTTTTCTATTTTTGTTTTTTTAGCATTTAAAGCAAATAAATAAGATCTGATCTACTTACTATCTCTTAGTGCGGCATAGCACCTCATTTTGTTCCGAGATGATGAAAAACAGCACTTGGATTTTAAACATTCAGTCTTGCTGAGATATGATTGCTTATTACAAGCCACTACCTCCTGATTCTCCCTTACAATGCATGCTTCCAAAGATAGGAATCCAAGAAAGAATAGTTAGCATGATTAAAAAAGCACTTTCATAATCAAATGAATACAAAGCAAGAGAAAAGAAAAACATTTAACACAGTACATTAAAAAATATAAATAAATGCTAAAGTCAAAACGGAAAAAAATAAAGTTTAAATTACCAGCTATTTAACAACACACTCTTTATAATTTATGGGGCACAGTGACCTTGCCATAAATATAAATATATATATATATATGTGTGTGTGTGTGTGTGTGTGTGTGTGTGTGTGTGTACATAGTGTGTGCATTGGCTACTCTGGAGTAACTGGCACATGCACCACCTTAAACATTTCTATTGCTTTGTGTTGGAAACACTCAAAATTATTTCAGTTAGGTATTTCATAATTATTGTCTTCAAAAAAGACAGTATGACAGTATGTAAAAGTGATAAATATTAATACTCTGTTTTCAAAGATTGTAGTAGGAGGCTACTCATTCATTCCCAGCTGCCCAGCCTCGAAATAATCTTAAGAGGCTATTATTTATATCACTGTAGAGCAATCTTGGTCTTGTAACATGAGGGCTGGCTTGTTGGGGTTTCTGTCCCGCCCGGTACCCTACAACCCGCAAGCCCCAAAGAAAATTACACACAGGACTCCATAAGATTATAAACTGATTGGCCCATTAGGTCAGGCTACTTATTAGCTCTTATAACTTTTGTTACCCCATTATCCTTATCTACGTTAGCCACACGGCTCAGTACCTTTCTCAGCTGGGCAGGTTACATGCTACCTCTTCGGTGATCTGGGAAGAAATGGTGGAGGGAGCTTCCTGCTTCCCAGAATATTCCTGTTCTCATCGCCTCACCTCTACTTCCTGTCTGGTTGACCCACCTATACTTCCTGCCTGTCCAATCAGCGTTTTATTAAAATACATGACTGACAGAATACAGATAATAAAGATAATGGTCTTTCTTTTAAAAAGGAAAGCAGGACATGGATTGTGCCTTAGTTGATGAAGTGCTTGCCTAATGTACATGCTACCATAAGTTGGATCCCCTGCACCTCATAAACCAGGCTTGGCAGCATCTGACTATAATTCTAGAATTTGGAAGATGGAAGCAGAAGGAATGGAAGTTTAATGTCATTCTTGGCCACATAAAGAATTTAAGAATTACCCTTGGCTATGTCAGTCCCTGTGACAAATAATAAAAGGAAGGAATGGAGGGAAGAAGGAGAAAGAGCAAGAAGGGAGAAGAAACAATTTGATTTGTGAAAAAAGTTTTACACAATTTATTTTAATTCAATTTCTTATGTTAAGAAAACTAAAATTAAAATAAATAAATAAATAAATAAATATCATTTGAACCATTTTAAAGGCCACTTCACTCCTTGTATTACTGTAATCATCCTAGGCAAGTAGGCAAATGTTTGACAGTTGATTTCTGTTTATTTCCAAAGCTCTAAAGTTTAAACTGTCATTTCCTGTTACTGTATTTAATAAGCCCTTCTTTTAGTCTATCCAACATAACACCTTCCCAGATTTATTTTCTTGGCCATTCAACTTGACTATGGTAGTAGCTTTAACTTATTTTCCTAGTCTCTTAGGTAGCAGGTGTTACAATAGCTATTTTATACTTGATGAAATCACTAGAGAAGCATAGATTTTTCCACAGAAGAGTTGAATGGTGTGATCTGGAATTAAACAATGGATTCAATTTTGTATTTAGATAACTATATCAGGTTTTCTTAGAATAAATTCTACATAGTTTTTAGCAAAATCTTTATCATGCCAATTTATAAGAAACTTCACGTGGAAAGGGATTGTACATGCTGTACAAAATAAAATATGTTTATTTGTAGCTAATAATTCTCAAGAGCCATCACGTGCTTGATAAAAAAATACCATATACAGATCACAAAATTATGTGACTTGAAACCTGGATACTTTATCATTAACACAGGTGGGAAAACATATGGTATATTCCATAACAACAGAGCCACTGATAATGCCACAAAAGACATCAATTTCACATCAATACTGGGTCAGTGACTAAACTAGGCCATGCCACTCAGGTAAATTATAAAAGCTTTAGGTATTTCTAAAGGAAAAGTGCTTTATGAAAAATTACAAACTTAAGCCTTAATTTGTCACATTCGCCTTGCAATTATTGTCCCAGTTTATCCTCATAACTCCTGTAACTTCATTGTAAGAAGATGTCCAGAGAGATTGTCTTGCTTAAGGCAAAGGGTAGAGTCAGGGCTCAAACTCAGGTCTGTTCCACTGCAATGTTGAAAACAGTCTGCTTCCGAAGTGCTTTAACTACTCTTTTTAAAACAAGGACATTCAGTAAAAAAATAAATACATAAATAGACAATTTACTTGTTGGAAAGAAAATTTTCAACAGAATTTCCCAGTTGGATTGAACTTTTAGAGTTCCATTGTGCTGTGGCAATTTCTCACTTGAAAACACAGAATCTGAGAAATGAATAGAAGTGAAATTATTAATCCCAGTATATATAAACATTTGTCATTTTCAAAGAAGCTTTAATAGTAACTAACCTTTGCTTAAACTAGTTATGGAAATATAACAGATGTTGCATTTTAATCTTGTAACAGTGTTAATATCATTAATAATCAGATTGTGATTCTGCCACAAAACTGAAAAAGTATTCAAATTAGCAAATATTTAACATACAGAATCACACATTCCACTGGTCTTCTGGACAATGATTTAAATAACAAATTTGCTTAACAAAGAGCTTAGTGTTTAAAGGTTTATCAATGGAAAACCCAAGAACAAAAAAAAAGAAAAATCAGAAGCAGTATGTATTCCAACTGTATCAGGACCTATTTAATAAAGTCTTGACAAGTATGCTGATGTCCTCTCATGAGGGTACAAAAAGTATTTCTTAGCCCTCTTTCATTCTAGTACACATAAGCTAATTTACTTTCATTTGCATAATTCTCTCCCATGTAAGAAAAGGAAAAATATTCAATAGTCTCTTTAATTATGCCTTAGAACTCCTTTATATGGCTGGATTATTATCTAGGAAAACATTTATGTTGTTCTTAATTCATTTTTATTTTAAAGAGCATTACAATGATTATCACCTGCTTGGAATATTATTATTAGAGCTATATATTTGCTAACATTTAAAAATATTTTTGTTAAATTCTTATTTTGGCGTTGCTTGTTCTGTTTGGCAATTTTGTTTTTTATTCTTGATGCTCCAAATTAATCCTAGGACCTCGCAGATTGTATCTCTGGGCTATGACTTTCCAGTGGAACCCTGAAGCATACTAATAATAGTACAGCTAAATGCCACTTTTTGTACCCTCACACCCTTTATTATCATTAGTCTATTGGTTAGCCAAAGTAAAATAATCTGATCTGGTACTAGCAAGATGGGCCATTGGTATTGGTAAAAGCACTTGCAAATCAGGCCTGAGAACCTGAGTTTGATTCTTGGAAGGTAAGGTATAAAGGCAGGAAGAGAACTAACTTGACTCTGGAGTTCCCCTCTGACTTCCACATGCACACTGTGGTATGCACAAACATTCACTCACATACACACATATACTCCCAGTAAGAACAACAACGGGCTGGTTGAGACGCTCAGGAATAAGAGCACAGTTTGCTCTTTCAGAAGGCCAGAGTTCAGTTCCCTAGATCCATCTTGGGAAGTTCACATCTGCCTGTTAATTCTAGCTCCACAGTATCTGATATTCTTCTCTGGCTTCTAAAGATGACTTGACACAGACATGTGCACATACACAGACACACACACAAATAAAAATTAATGTTTTCTAAACCTTTTGAGATTAGAACTGATTAGTTGCATGTAAAAGGTAAAATAAGTTAACTCCTCATACATACATTTTTTAATATAAAAATTAACACAAATGGGCCAACAATTCAAATTTGAGAGATAAAACTTTAAAATTCTTAGAAGAAAACAGAAATAATTTTGCATGACCTCAGATTTGGCAATGGTTACTTTGATAAGACACTGAAGGACCAAACAAAGAAAAAACATAATTTGGAGTTCATAGAAATGGAAATCCTTTGTACATCAAAGAACATTATGTTAGACACAGTGTCCCAAGTCTGTAAAGCCCAGCATGAGGCAGAGGCAGAAGGATTTTGACAAGTGTCAGAATAACCTGGGCTAACCAGACCTGAGCTAGGTTGCAAGGCAATTTTAAACGAGGACATTATGGACATTATGAAGAAAGTAAAAAGACAATCTATAGAACTGGAGGAAATATTTGTAAATGGTATTCTTGGATAATGACCCTACATATAGAATACAAAAAGAAAATCTAAAAATGCATTAAAATTTTAAAACACATTTAAAATGAGCAGTTTTTAAAAGAACATTTTCCCGAAGTTAAACAAATGTTAACAAACACATGAAAAGGTGTTCAACATCATTAGTCATTGAAGAAATGCAAATCAAAATCAAAACAAGGTATCACTTTATAGCTATCATCACAAAGGGAGAGGAATAGCAAATGTTGAACACTGCTGCTAGAAACATAAATAAGTCAGTCATGAAAATCTGTCTATGGCTTCCTAAAAAAAAACTCAGTATGTAGTTCCTATATGACCCCTAAATTCTACTCTTAATATATCCACACAATAATTTATATACAAATGCTCATAAAAGAATTATTCATAACAGAAACAACACAAATTTGGTACATTTGGTAAATAAATATATATACATATATAAAATGTGTGTGTGTTTATAAAATTCATATAATGAAATACTATTTAGCCCTAAAAAAGGACAGGGGTTTTATAAAAGGACGTGTGTGAGGTGAAGGGTTAGTAAGGAAGACTGAAACACATTTCAATCATTGGTATACTTTTTAACCCCCTCAGTTCCCATCTGGCACCCTTAATCCTGCCTCAACCCTCAACCCTGGCCTCTCCCTTTGTCCTCCTCACCCCATACCACAACCCTGCCTTACCCTCTCAAAAGCTCCCTCACACATGTCAATACTGGACTCAAACCCTCAATCGCCTCACACATTTTAATCACCTCCACCCTGCCTCACCCCTAAATCTCACTCCAGCACTCCAGTTCAATCTTACACGTCCCTACAATCACTGTCCCCCACCTCAACCCCATTCCCTCCTCATCCCCTCAATTCCTGCCTCACTAACCCTTTGACCCCTATTAATTTGCCTGGCCCTCTGTCTCACTCTGATTCCTTTAACCCCATTACTCCTGCCGAGTAGCACCCCAATTACCCCCTTTTGCTTCACTCCCCTCGTGGGCACCACTCATCACTCTGCCCCACCCTTGGACTCACTTTTCCCACACTTCCCAAGCTCCTGTTATACCTTATCTAGCCTAGAATCAACACTCACTAGTATTCACAAAATAGCACAGGATCACCAGCATCCAAAGTAGAAACAGAAACAAGCCCAAGTGTCTCCGGGCCCACATATTTTGCAGACACCGATGTACTACAGCCCAGAAACCAAACTGAGGGCCGGCAGCCATATTGATCCCCTGACCAGAACTCAGAGCCCCTGGAAACATTCTGAGGGCAGAATTCTTGCCTATGTACCCGCTATCAGCTACCATCTTGAACCGTGCTACTCGCAAAGCCTGGATCTTGGATCTATTCCTCCCCTGCTTTGATCTGAGATCCAAAGGCATGATTCAGAACTCTAACCTGGCTGAGGCAATGGCTCACGGTTTCTGGACCGCCCAGAACATCAGCATTAACCTCTCGTGGTACTTAAAACTCTCATGGAACTTGGAGCTCTCGTGACAGTTGCGACAGTAGCAGGTCTCGCGAGATCTGTGACTCATTCCTTCCCAGTGACGTTTTCTGTAACCTTGCACAGACCTACTCATTTTTAACCCCTTGGATGGATGGTGTTTAAACTTCTACTCCACTTATGCACAGCATACATGCATATAAATGTTTGCTGAGTAAGTGAAGGAGTTTTGTAGCCTGTACACCAGTAGCATTGCTGTTTATTGTATATCAAAATTAAATAACTGGAATTCAGATTTCCAGTCAGGCTTCTAATTCCTCTAACGTTCCTAATTGTACTGTAGTTGCTATAGTCACTATAGTCACTTGTAGTGGCCATTAGCCAAAAGTTGATCTTTAAAAATAAATTTTAACTATTTAAAATTCAATGAATCTAAGGAATCAATTTTTCAATCAGTTGTCACACCTTGGTGTCTGGAGTCAATATGGCAGATAGTCAGCAATTCTATAGCAGGACCGATAAGTAGGATAAAATGGTATTTTCCTTCCAGTGACCCTAAAATTGAGTTACAAATAAACAAAAGTATATAATCAAAATAAATGAGAAATATTACATAGTGCTTAAGAACTCTTGAATTTTATTAATGTCTTTGCCATCTCTATAAACTTGACACCCTTCCTCTTACTAGATCTGAATGTGTCACATGAAAATAGGGCATTTCACAAGGTCTATACTGTTTTTTCTAGCTCATTGCTTCTTTAATTAAAGTCAAAGTACCTTTTAGGTGATACTTTCATTGTTATTACCTTAATGCATTTGGGTTTACAAAGGGTGTGAAAAATACTCCCACCAATTCTATTTCCATCTTTACCTTTATGGTATATATTCACTTTCTAATTTTTAATTTTTTCTATCATTCTTTGCCAAATTAGTAGATGTTGCATTAAAGGAGAAATGAGAAAGGTTTCCTATTTAAATAATAATTGAAATTTATCACACACTCCTTCCCACCCCAATCCCTGGGGAAATTTAATTACAGGATCTGACAAGGCCATAACCTACTTTTCATTTCTTTTATTTTTGATTTTCTGTTTCCTTTTGCCTCAGAATCTCTAAAACTAATTTAAATAGAACACAGCTATTCTCAAATATTTACTAACAACTTCTGAAACCACTGACTGCAACTGGGAGAAACCATAAAGTGTCTGAGATTTTGCTTTCTGCTTTCAAGTAGCAGGGTAGCTACAGTTTCACAGATGCCAGCATAAGATGCAAGACTATTGAATAGGTGGCAAAAATCAAAAAGTTCTTTTCGTACATGCAGAAATTCAACAGACCCATGAAAAACAGCCTTCCAATAAGAACCTTATTCATATTATAACACACATGAGAAATAAATATATGAGCAGGTACCACAAAACTACTCTGAGGGATCAGAAGATAAAGCTAGAGGGTGGGAACTCAACTCTGACTCCCTCCCAGGTTATGCTCTCTTAGACTTGTTTTCCCCCTGTATCAGTTTTGGGCTATCAATAGCCTGACTGTGAAGATACTTTCCACTTCTGGCCTCCTATGACGCATTAAATACAGCATTTGAGAGATTTTGTAAATAGATAAGGTCTGAGTGTTCTTACACAATGCAATATTACCAATCTGTACCATACTGCTAGAAACCCAAATTTGAGCATTTCCAAGTATGCACAACACTAATGCAAGATTAGTGCCACAAAATGTGAGTGCAGTATTCATCTTGTCCATCTTCAAGTTCCATAACAAAATATTTTATATTGTAAAATTATAAAGAAAAGATGCTTGCTTGTTTTACATGAGTTCAAGAGCCTGGCAGGGATATCTGTGCAACATCTCATAAAGGTATTTATTCTCCATCATAACACAGTAGGCAAAATCACATTTGGAAGGAAAACAAGATGGTAAGTCTTCTTATAAAGTTATTAATCCATTCATAATCTAAACTATTCCAAAGGTTCCATCAAAAAATTCATTAGTATATAACTTTTGGGATTATACCTTTAACACATGAAATATGGGGAGTATGTTTATGCTGTTTTAGTCACTGTCCTATTACTGTGAAGGGATACCATAATCACAATAACTCTTATAAAGGGAAACATTTAATTTGGGTGGTTTGCTTATAGTTCATAGGTTTAGTCCATTATCACCATGGTAGAACATAGAGGCATGTAAGCAGATATGGTGTTAGAAAAGGAGGTAAGAGTTCTTAATCTAGATTAACAGGGAGCAGGAAGAGATAGTGACACTGGGCCAGGCTTGAGTATCTAAAACTTTAAATTCTACCCTTAGTGACACATTTCCCCCAATACAGCCATAACTACTCCAACAAAGCCATACTTTCTAATAGTGACACTCTCTTCTGACCAAACATTTAAATATATGAACCTATGGGGGCCATTCTTATTCAAAACACTACATTCAACTACCTCTGAAATCATAAATGAAAGTAAATCTTTCCTTCCTTAAGTTGGTTTTCTCTAGTAATTGTCACTGTGATGGGATGTTGACCAATACAATAGTATAGAGTGGAATAGGAAAGCCAATAAATAATTTTTAATTTATTTCTGATAATCTATAAAATACTGTGATGGTTTATGTGGTGTTTTGCTTTTCATTGACTTCACATTGGTTTGCTGATATGAAAAAGCAATCTTATGTTCTAACTCTATTGAAACTATTCTTGTTTTCTTAAGCTAAAAATTGCCTACTCTTGGATAATGCTACACTTTAGAAATTGTCCTGAAGATCTATAAGACAAAGGCTTAGTTGTTGGCCATTGGCACTATTAGAAGATAATGGTCTCTTAGGAGATGGGGAAGGAATTTAAGTCACTAGGGACATGACCTTGAAGAGGGTGCTGGGAACATGACCTCATTCCTTTTCTCCTTTCTTTTTCTTTTTCTTTCTTTCCTCCTTCCTTTCTTTTCTTTCTTCTTTCCTTCTATTTTCTTCATTCCTGCTTTCTTTCTTTCTTTCTTTCTTTCTTTCTTTCTTCCTTTCTTTCTTGGTTTGACTTGCCTTGACTCTCATATGGTAAGCAGACATTAAATACCATGTACTTATGCCACAACGATGTAGCAACAGGTTTTAAAGCATCAGGGCCAAGAGACTAAACACTAAAACTTCTGAAACTCTGAAGCAGAATAAGCCTTCTTGTGTCTCCAATAATGGCAATATATTATAAATAATAAGTTTATAAAATATTAGAAGCCAGTATTGTGAAAATAAGAAGCAAAATGAAAACATTTTTACAAGTAGATCATTAGGAGACATTCTTTCACAACCTTGTAGTTCTTTGGCCCATGTATTATATTTATGGAAGAAATGGAATCATCTATTGATGCCTTTTCCTTCTTCACACTATACATTACGTGCTGCAAAACAGCATCTCAAACTCTCAAACATCTCTTCTAGGTGGTGTTATTCTAGGTCCTCAAGAGTGATTGCATTGTTCTCTTAGGCCAACTTCTCCTAGGTGAGATTATAACAAAAGCTCAGAGGGAAAAATAGGACTCTGTGTTACTGCAATTCTATAAGTGAAAGTGAATTTCTTCGATAGAGACATTTTGTGTAATATATATTAGCAGTGTTTAAGTTATTATATGAGTATATAAGTGATAGAGCTAGGAGAGTTGTAGAAAGTAGAAAGACAAATCCAAACTACAGTAAAAAAATATATTCAAGAAAGTTGGACTTAAGGACCTCTTTAACAGGAAAGAAATAATTACTAGTACTATAAAACTAGCCATCTACACATGGATAGTGAGGCTAGAAATCTTGGAGGATAATAAAATACTGTCACATTAGTAAACAAGTATAATTCCTAACTTCCTTCTAAATACATATCCTTACACCCAGGAATAACTATAGCTTTCATCCAGCATCAATGAAGCTTCTTTTTGTACCAGTAGCAGACCATTACAGAAAGCCACACTAGTAGAAATACAGATCACTGACCATGGAATGAATACCCAGCCCCAATTGATAGGTTTATAATGCATCCCCTAAACTATGGCAACATCATAGAATCTAAAAGCAAACAAATAAAAAACAAGAAAAGGGTTGTAGACACTCTTAAAGATAAACTGAAGGTATTAGACATTATAAGATATATGTGAGACTTTGAGGGTGTCTCTTCTGAAATTCGGTAGTCTGGGATTTGAGTATCTAGTGGAAAAGAGATCTGTTTGTAATGATTTATCTTGATTGCCACTGTGATTAACTTAAGAAGTATCTAAGTGATTAGTAAAGTATGTCAAGGATGCATCTGTGAAGACATTCCTAGAAAAAAAATATCTGATAGGGAAAGACTCATTCTGAAAGAGGACCTTCTGTGATGGGAGCTGCTAAGCCCCTCATTACATGAAAAATCAAGTTCCTTGAAATCAGAACCAAATTAAATCTCTCCTCCTCCTCTTCCTCCTCCTCTTCCTCCTCCTCTTCCTCCTCCTCTTCCTCCTCCTCCTTCTTCTTCTCCTCCTCCTCCTCCTCTTCTTCTTCTTCTTTTTAAATTTTCGAGATAGGGTTTCTTTGTAGCTTTTGGAGCCTGTCCAGGTCTTGTAAACCAGGCTGGTCTCGAACTCACAGAGATCTGCCTGCCTCTGCCTCCTGAGTGCTGGGATTAAAGGAGTGTGCCACCACCACCCAATCACTCTTCTTTCAAATTACTTCTCTGAGATGATTTTTACAGGAACTAAAATTCTACGTTGTTATAGGGCATCAAGAAATTGGAGATTAGAAGTCAATTCTATACTCTTTCTAGGCATTAGGTGACTACTTCAAGAATTTCTGGTTGCAGACTCATCAGCAAAATGATTACATGATATCCATTTTGTTGTTTCCCTTTCTATGTAGAATCACACCTCCCTTTAAGTATATTATACCCTGCTGGTTGTACTTAAA